GGCGATCAAAAAATTGTTTTCTGTGCCTAACAGCTCCGAAAGAACATTACAATTCTCCATTCACCAGGAGCTTTTCCGATTTCATTTCACGGACAGCGTTGGGCTCGTATAAGTGGGTGTTCCGATGGCGTTTCATGGAGTTTACGCTTGACCATGGAAACAGTTACACTTGCTTACGTTCGAGGGAATTCCAATTCCAATTTTTCGGTGTAAGAAACCGGTAACGATCCCGCCTTGGCCAAAGGAATGGCACTTCACCTGCTATGGACGTATTCAACCACAAAGAACAACAGCACTCGCCGTCCCCATGACAAGTCCAGCGTGGATAGCTGGACCCGGTTTGCGAACCTGACAAGTATATAACAGGTAAAAACCAGTCTCTATTAACCATGCTTTTACTCACCTGCACCGTTTATCATTCGACTCTGCGACTCTTTTGTATCATTGACAGGTTTCAATGACTACTGCCGGATCATTAGCAAGCCAATCGGTCAACTGAGGAAGAAGTTTGGCCATCAACTGACTGCAAATACTAGAGTGCAACGTCGGTCTGTACTGTGCATAGCCGGCTAGCACTACTGTTCAACGGAAGTTACGGCAGTGTTTCAGGACATGTCAAGAGTTCTCCTTATAACCAGCCACCAAAGTCCGCTTAACCACACTGCAACTTGGCGGATTTGACTCACAACTTAGTAAAGTCACAACTGAACTTTTTACACTGGCGCAGTCCTCAGACTTCTACATACAACCTGTGCAACTGCTTTTACTAGGAAGAATGCTTTGCTGGAGCACAGAACATTCCGGTTTCTTAATGGTCATTAATTGCACCAAAACCTTGTTTGGGCTCCTGTGCTCATCGATTACTACATAGCGAAATCACGCCCAACATGTATCGAAACAACAGTTATGACTGATTTTTACGTGCCCCAGCGCCATCATGTTCCTTGGTCTAACTATTAGCTGACAAAATGGGCACTCGTATGGACTACATCTTTTCGGTTGTACCTTTAATTAAAACGAAATGTTTTACTATTCTGAAAAAGCTATACTTGTATCCACATGTGAGCGCGCCTTCACAGGTGGGTCTCGTTTTACCGAGAATCCACCATTTATTTATTTATTTAAGTTGTGCGGGAGCACGTGGCTTTTCATTTGTTGCCGTCATGATCTGCAACTGCGTTAAGTGCCTTTTGCTGCGTAATCGTGAAACAATGTAAATGCTAACAAAAAAGAGACAGAAAAGGAACGCTGAGTGCTGTACCGAATCCGAATATCCGCATCATAGGGAGCGTGTGACGCGCTCTTGACCCACAACCCGCGGACACTAAGGAATGGTTTATGGATACGTGTTTTCGTAGGCATACCTGAAAGCAATGTGCATGTAAGTAACACTGCGTTGACTTACTTAATCCCATTGTAGCTATGTAGTGCACCTTTTGGTAGTGATGTTTATAATTCCTGTCAACGATGTTTTAGAGGGAATTACCTGGAAATAAAATGCCGGTGGCTTGGTGGGAAAGTAGGGTGACCTTTCCTTGCGGAGTTACCCATCAACCGGAGACGAGGGTGCATGCGGACGACTGCACGATAGGAGATACAAATACAATAATTGTCAGCCATTTTGTCTGGCTTTGTCACTTACCTTGTTTGGAAGTTGCTTTGGGACATGGTGTTTTGTCCAGTTATGCCACACTGGAACTACTGCAATGCAGTGGTTTGCTGACAGGTGGAATTGGTATTTCACATAGCAGCCGCAGGCTGCGTACAAAAAGGATAAAGGTAAACAACCTGCTTACTGGTTGTTGTGAGATGGGCAACGCAAGCCTATTGCACGATAGGTCTAGGTTAATATGCAAGGATGGGCATCAAAAGAACCACATTCGGTCTACAGGTGCAGTATTCAGTGTATGCGGAGTAGGTAACTGTAACTTACCGGTTAATACATCGGTTGCCTTCCTGTGCAGTGTTTCCGGTGCAATGGTGGGTGAGAAAATGACCAATGGATGGCGCAATGAGTGCTAAGTCGTAACTAAAGTGGTTGTTAGTGAAGGGGGAAGAAAGTGGGCTTGCAAATCTTGTCCGAAATTCCCGAGAAAGGTTACCACAGCAGCTTCCCGCAGTAAGCACGTGGACTGCCCAGTACTTTAATCGCTGGACGATTGCGGACCCACCCATTGCACCCAGGTCCCACCCTAGGTCACATTGCCATGTTACAGGTGGCGTGGTCCCATACTGCTTGTCGTTCGTTCTGAATTACCTGCGTCGACTTTCGTCATGCGTTGCTAACATGTCATTTTTCCATGAAATTTATCGGAAGACATACCGAGCGCCTCTCGCTTGACAACTGAAAAGTCAGCTCAGTCCTGGGATACGCAGTCCCACCAGACCCTGAACTTCAGAGAAACGGGACCTCGGACGCCCTGCACTGTGCGGAAGCCACTAATTGCGACACTAGCGATAGTCACCGCAGCAGGCGCTATATATCCGAGAAGCTTGTAAGCGTGTTTCATCGCAATGAGGCTACGTATTAGCGTGGTGCGATGGCTTGCGTGCTTCAGAGCTTCAGTGAGCTAGGTTGGGTGGCGCTTTTTGGCACCCTCAGAGCCACTCATACCAGGTTGGTCAATGGTTAGAGACCAGACAAACCCAGCCGCCTGGTCCCCCAGATTGCAGAGCAAGTGCATTATCAAGTCGCAAGGGTAAGAGGATTATCCTTCCACATACGCCGTTGCATAGAAACCGCCGATGCAAGGCTAGAACTATATAAGAGTCACGTCAGGCCACATCTAGAATATTGCTCTTTTATATGCAGCAATCTACGTAAGTCGGTCCGTGTTCTGCTTGAGAAAGCTCAGCGACGCTTTACGAAGATGTTGACTCCACCGCAGCAAGCGCTGCGGTGTGAACACCTCAAACTTCAGCCCCTATGGCAAAGGCGCATTATCCTTAATATGTGCTTCTTACATAAGCTAATTCATAGAAAGCTGCACAGTAATATCACTTGTCTTAAACTAAACAGCGCGTCTGAATCGCGACTCCGAAACAAGGGCCATTCCATTACTCTGCTAAAAACAAAAAAGAGACTGCGGTCCCGTTTCTTCTTAGTTGTGTACGTGAACATACGGAACAGGTTGCCTTCCAGAATAAGAGAAATCCAAAATTTGCAGGTCCTCAGGAAGCAGATAAAAAATTCCTATGTTTTGGCAATCTACAAAGCATCTTCCATATCTGCGATTCGCAAGACCACTTCTTTGAAACTGGCCCTGATGTAGCTTGCGGCGCCCACGATGTAGTGCAAAACATATAAGCACCTTGAGCTCAAAACTCATCCACATTCATTATCGTTACCGTTCTAGCACCTAAGAGACTTTAACGGTATCCGTCGCACCCGTTTTCCAGGGTTTAAGCATAGCAAACTGAATACAAGATGATCTTATTCTTCAACGACCTCTTCCTTTAATCCTTATTTCTTATCTACATCGTCATTTCTTCTTTTCAGACTTACATTTATCACTTTCCAACTTCTTGACCGCTGGATCAGTGGAAAAACACTAGGCATCTGACCTCTAAGGTACTCCTAGAAAAGGCGTGCTACCAGACCTAAGCCTTGCAAAGGATGTTGAAAGCGTTTTCTGCTGCTGATGCACCTAAGCTTAGCATTAGAATTGTCCAGAATCGTCTAAATGCCGGCTTTAAATAACCCATTATGTGTCCTCCTAGATGTCGGTTGCCAGCGGGCCCTTTTAGAGAGGGTTGCCTATTCCGGGAGCCCAGAGAGCGATTCCAGAAGACAGATCGAGTTGCAGGGAAACTTTTATTGGTTCAGCAAAAGATTCCCTGTTAGCTAGCTATAAATGAACGACACCGTGGACGCTCTAGCTAGGGGAACGGATCAAGCACAGCACACAGAGCAGTCGCGCGTTGCAACCGAAGCGAGCGCCAAGCAAAAATGGCGATGAGCAAGTAAAGCATTCAAACTCAGCAATCAGTTCAACAAACCACACCGGTTGCCTAAGTGTACAATTATAGAATTTTGGTTAGAATTTTACACAAGCAAACCGGGGAATCTCCAGACTGCTACATAGCTCTCTCCCAGAAGGGACTGTGTAAGCAGTCCTTCGATCTACGTGAGGACTGTCCGTCGCGGGCCAGCCTTCTGCGAGACCAGGTTGTGAAACCCGATGCAGCTGCTGGGGGAGAACCATGCAATCGGACCCTAGCGGGCTCCCACCCGTGTCCTCCCTACGGTGTCGAAACGGTTAAAAAAACTGTTTGTAGGGGGGGGACAATTAATACAGTTCACGTAGGCAGTTGAGCAGGAAGATTGTTGAACTTCCAGTTGACGTGCGGAGATCCAGCGGAAAGTGAAACCGAGGTGCAACGAACCGACGGTGTATATGGAAAGCAAAATGAAAAAGCAGTGTAAGTGCATAGCCATACACAAAAGAGTGTAAAGCGAAAAACGTGCAAAGCTGTTTTTGGGTTTTCAAAAAGTTTTGCACTTTTTTGGTAGTTTCAAAACGTTTTGGTCTTTTTTTTGTGGATTTTCAAAAAAGTTTAGTAAGAGCAGAAAATTTCTAAGACACGTTCTACGTAAAATAGTAAGTGCTGACAAAGTCAGCCATTTGCTGCAGGCGTACAACTCGCAGATTTATTTGGGATAGACAATTGGTGTGTATTTTATTTAATAATCGAAAGTTGTTCAGCGCCCGTGGTCGCTTTTGGTACTCTGAAGTGGGTGGTTTGTTGACCGGTATCCATTTATGGACGTGCACGTACCCTACTGGATATCCCTGGATGTTCATAAATCATAAGTAAGATGCAGGCGCGAGTAGGTTGCTGTAAATGGCCCTGCCTGTCCAGTGCACACTGAAGTTGCTCTAATTTGTGAATGAGTCGTTATTATTACATGAACAAATACACTATTTCAACTCATTTCTGGCTACTCCAAGGATTCGTAATTTATTGCCTTTTGCAGACTCCTTGGTAGCTACGAAGCGATGCACGGTGGGAACACTTCTGAGGCGATGGAAGATTTCACAGGAGGTCTGACGGAGTTTCTGGAGCTTGGCACCTACAATCCCCTACCATATCTCTTTCGAATTATAGAGAAATCTAATGAACGGCGATCCCTAATGGCATGCTCGATTGACGCCAGCCCGGATCAGATGGAGGCTGATGGTCCATTCGGTTTAGTACTGGGTCACGCTTATTCGGTTACAGATGTGAAGCGAGTAAGCACTAGCCGCTATCTCATTTTCCGAACTCATACTTCAAATTGTCCGTTTTGTAGAGTCCGTTGTGCAGCTTTTGTCTGTCCTTAGGTGACGAGTTGCTGGGTAGACCCCAACCTCAATGGAAATTCGCATGAATTTGGGAGAATAGACCGGTTTTGCGGCACGCTATCGGTGATTAAATTTTACGAGTTGCGACCTATATTATGCATGCTTAATTGCGCTGGCAGTATTTCCAAATTCGGTTGCGGATATACGGAAGTTTGGTTAGACCCACCAGTATCATAGTGCAAATTCGCATCCAATAGGGGCAAAGCAGGTAGTATCATGAAATACAGTATTTACATTTTCCTACAGACTTTTAATTTCGAGTAGATCTGCAGTAAGGAAAGTAGCTAAGCCAGCAAACAACGCAAGGCATCAAGCAGAGGTATGTGCCTTAAAGTCTGTTCAAAACATTGCAAACTAGTAGTTGCGTATTTTCAAACTAAGAGCTGAGGGAATATTCAGACACGAAACAAATAGTGAAATTGGACATGTGTATTGTGGCAAGTTATTGATCATTGTCCATAAAACTCGGAGTCCAAGGAAGAAACGATGGTTTGTGCAAATTGCAGTTGTCACTTCTTTGTACTTTATGTTCCCAGTAATCCGACTTGCCAAGCTTTCAACAAGGAAATTTCTGGTAGATCAGAACATGCAGCAACACCTGTGTGTTATTCCACCTTAGAGAAGGCAACCAGACTGCCTGTTCTTCACGTTATTCAAATGTTGTTTGTCGAGATGGCCACGGTTGAAGTAGGTTCAATTCCTTCTCATCAACGGACCCTAAGACCAAACTAACTGATGTTACTTCTGCTTTGATGGGCTAAGGCACGAAGCATTCGACTGTATGTGAATGTCCGGTTAGCTTGAGGTTATGTGGGTCCAGTTGTCAGCTACCACCTGAAACTCCTCAACGCAGCAAATTTCGTTAAGCGTTTGGATAGAACCAGGATTCAGAACTCCATATTCCGATGTCCAAAACTAGTGCCGTCATGTTGTTAGTTTGTGTTGAGCGTTTAAGCACCCGTTGCGTCTTCGTAACTATATTGTGTATCTGATCAAAACCAGAGGAGGAACTAATGGTTTCCAATAAAACGGATATATTGGAGTCAAAGCATTGAGTTAATTGTGCTTGATGTTTTGTATAGAATGTGTTATGTATATATATATATATATATATATATATATATATATATATGGAATCAGGCTGTTAAGAGTTAAGTTGAGCTAATGTCGGCTTTGTGATGACCGTCTTAATGTTAGAAATGTTTTAAGTGACTTCATAATAATCACACTTTCAATGTGTTTCCTTTCCAGTTTGTTCACGTGAGTCAGTTCTGACACGTTTTCCCTGCACCTCTATCAACCTGTGTTGGACACGCATCTGTGACTGCTTATGCGTTTTGTGTAACAGTATCTTTGTGTTGATCTAAAACATGCACAAACTCCTGCAATTGGGCTTCTTCTAGACCCTAATGTCGCTTTCTTTCATCCAAGAAGTCCTCACCTACTAATGGAGGCCGAACTCCTAAGAGGCATGTGATCACTTCCTGGATCGCTTTTGCGCTTGTATGAGCCCCATACAGTAGGTCGCATTTGATGTTTGTTTCATGTACTCTACCATCTTTCGTTCACCCTGTGTATGTTTGTCTTTTGGTCTCCCATTTCCAAATAAAATTAATGGCCTCTTACAACTTGTTTCATCCTGGTATTTTTTCTAGTTACTCATCAATTGGATAGCGTGGCCGAACCTATGGTACTTATGGCAACTGGACACTACATTAAAGTTGCTTAATAAGTGGCTCTGTAAAGTTAAAGGCTCCCTAACATTTAAAATTTTGCAAGTATCCCATTCCAAGTAAGTCGTGACCATTCCGTGGCGACCTATAGCGCTTCCATAGCCCTTTACATTTCCGATACACAGTTAAACGATGAATCGAAAGCGAGCGTTAGAACACAATAATAATAATAATCACACTAATAGAGGAAGGTTTATTCTGGGGTCATAAAATAGCCAAGGCATCAGAAGATGTGGACGGGTGCTGAGTGGGAAAATGGGCGGTCACATGCGAGCAGAAGTAGCGGATGCATGTGGTTTTGACTCAAAAAATGTAAGCAGCATTCAAGCGAGCAAATCGCCTTATCCCCTAATACATAAGATAATTATAATGTTCGAATACTTTTGATTATTTTACAGTAAGTGGGGAATCGCTAGGTCATGACGTACTAAGCTGCCTAGCTCCCACGGTATCTCCAACAGCTCTGGGGATCGCATTACCAAGTGAGTGGTTGAAAAGAATGCTAGAACCAATATGGCCTATGAGGCCACCGTCGCTTATAGTTGCGTTTAGAAATAAGCCTATTGTTAGGGTGTAGTGTTGGCCACACTGATTGGCTACCTGAATTAGCGTATGGGTCAGTAATGCGACCGCTGATTCACGAAGAATTAGACTGATGGCGCACACCTGATCACCGATGCATGTGGCGTATAACGGTATGATCAAAAGATGCAGCTTTGTATTAGGTGAATGGTGGACATGAACTCAGTCGTATCACGACGTGTGACACGCTGTTTGATGAGGGCAGTTGCGGACATCCGCTTCAAGTCATGTTAACATAAGCATTAGGCACCCTAGTGGGTATATTTTCATAATTTTGCATCATCAACTGCGAAAGTACGAATGGTCCGAAATATACAAAATTGTACAGAGATTTAGACCAAAATGAAAGCGGTGCACTTTCATCACTTGGGTAAACGGCCTGGTTCTCCACAGCAACAATCGCACAATGCTGAACAGAACCCTCGGGATTTGCATCCAGTACATAGGGCAAACTTTATTTAAAGTGTTACTTCATAAATGGTTTCATGTGACGTAATTGTTTGTGTCCAACTAGATGAATCAATTATTGGATGTAGTATCAGCAGTTGTGTTTATACGGTGGATTGAGTAGGACAGTCTCACTGATCTTGGGAATCGTTTGAAGTAGGAATCTGCCAAATTATTCTTGCGAAACTGATCTGTTTACCGTATATAAGGTAAAAAGCTTGTTCGAGGAAAATAGTAGCTGCCGATTTAATGGCCACACCAATTGCACGTTTTTCTATTTTGTTACTATCTACAGTGGACACATGTCAACAAATCCGGAGAATAACGCACTGGACATACGGCAGTTTGATAACAGAAACCAGAGTTTAATGGCGTCGCTCAGTAGTAGTCTTGAGATACCCACAGGAGTGCAGCTAAAATGGTCAGCCATTTGTACGTGTAAGTCAGGGATAGTGAAAGGCGCTATATCACATCTAGTAACTGATTTACGATGGTCGTTGCCGTCCCCCGTAGCTCAGTGGTCTCAACCACGGACTGGCAACAGTCGAGTTGCGGGTTCGAGCCCTACCAGGGTCCTATGGAATGCGCACTGCTGACGATTCCCGAAAGGATGAAACGCGCGTACAGTGCTTTTCCGGGCGTGTGACGGCTGTCTGAGTGTCTAGATGTGACGAATTTCCACCTATTCCATTCACCTGCCTCTACTACTTTTCTGCAATTACATCTGGCGACGGATGCCAAATGTAGGCTTGGACGTTTACTTAGTTCGTCTGAACCCTGGCCACCGCATACACAAACACACGGTGTCACAGTTGGACCTGTCATGCCGATGCAGCATTCAGTACCCATGTGGTACTTCGCTAGCTAGCATCGCATCGCACATGCTTCATTCTCTGTGCTGCTGTACTCACCATCAACAAACATTTGCCCTTTATTCGCGAGGATTCTACTCAAATGTTGGTAAGCATAAGCTGAGACACTACTGTGAACCAGTCATCCAATCTGCGTTTGTTGGTTTATCAAGATAACAAGATATGTGTACATTTTCCAGTTGAAAACTTCGATATCACGTACTACTGAGATTCTCCAGCCTTAACCTCTCGGATACTTAACCCCTCCTCCGTTCTCAACACTATTGCTCTCAAGTTGCCAACAGGTCAATCGATTTGCTGAAGAGTTGTGCAGATTTCTGTAGACATTTAATTTAGCTCCACAAATTGTTGCTTTCACATATCTACCCCCACCAAATATTCGTAAGTTCTAATCCACCGAATTGTCCTTATTATTCTCTAATCGCCAACTTATTTTATACTTTTGTCTTTTTGCAGGTGAGTAAAGCCGAGGGACCTCGACAGCTACAGCTTCTTCGTCTACGTAACCCGTGGGGTAACGATAGAGAATGGTACGGCCCATGGAGCGATCGGTCGAATGAGTGGAACGGCATATCTGCATCGGAGCGAAAACGAATTGGCCTCGTGTTCGAACATGACGGCGAATTCTGGTATGTGCAATTTGGTCCACACGGACAACAAACAGAATGCTATACGTTATTTTCATTCATATCGGGGTCTGGGTGTCGCAGCTCTGCCTAGCATGCGTGGCCTTCAGCAAATTATACAGGTAGCAACGGAACAACATGAAGCTCGCCTTGGTTCTAAGGAGTGGGCTACAGTACTACTGGACGGATAAGAATCCCAATGATACTCTTGAATTCGTGGTAGATCTAGTACACAGGAGAGAGTGAAATGCACGTGGCACTTTACTAGCAGTGGCAGCTTGTTTCGTCCGTAGGATCAAACGGTTACAGTATCCTCCGCTAGTCTTCATGGCACCTTGGTAATTTAGTCTAGGGCACTGTCGCGTAAAAATCTCCTACGCACTGCTTCTGGACATTACTTTTTGATAAAGTGAAGCTCGAGTTTCGTTTAGTTCATTGTTGAGGATCAGATTCACTCAAAAGGAGGCTCTGTAACCTCGGTCGGGTGGATGGGAGCTGTGACGTGAAATGCAGCACATAAAAAGTGAACCAGTTCACGGCTAGCGATTCCTAACTGCTTGACACAAACAGCCTCATAGACTCTGTCAATCTACTGAAGGCCAAGAAGAGTAAACCAAGAAACGTCGCCTGGCAATGGACAAAACCGTCTCGACTCTTGTGTGACATATGAATTAGTACGTACTGATCTTCCTTAGCGGGGACATCATCCGAGGATTGCTGCTTGCTATCGGAAATAAGGGGTGAAGTTTGTCATTGATGTTATCAATGTGGAAGACATCGGCTTCGCCAACTTTCAACCACTCACTCGTGTACGTACCATACGGTTGTGCATGTTAACTTGTTCCCAAATGCTAATGACGTTTTCATAGCATAGATAAGAAGGATGTTAGATTGAGAATTGAAATTACCGGATCATTCAATCGGTGAATTTTGAATTGATCATAATCCAACCGCAACGAATTAATCGACGTTAAGTAAGTGACAGCTTATCAAGGTCTGAGCAGAGGAAAACTGACACCGAGGATTTGTTCTTCTTGGTATACTTATGCATTGGTGATCACTGGTTGAATTTGTTCATATGGCCAATGGAGTACATGACTTGGCTTGTTAATATGGTCTCTCAAAATATTACCAGCAGTACTCAATATCCGGGTAATCAAGATGTCAGCCGCCAATCACAACGGGCCGAGATCTCAGTCGTAGACCACGGCATTTCCCCGACACGCGAATTCGGACGAAATTGGCCGTGAGATACAGTGTTGGGGACGAGCAACACCGAAACTCTACGTCGCATTTTTTTCAGTGCTCGAACCGGCCAAAGTCAAACTCATCATTAAACATGGCCTCAAATGAGATGGCATAACGCAATGCTAATGCCCGATGGGTTCCCAACTGTTCCACCGTGAATTTCCGACCATTGTACGAAGCGCTGTTTGCGGCGCTCAATTGCCCAGTTCTTAAGATGTCGGTCGACAATAGGCCCATCAAGAGTTCCGTTTGCACTTCAGGCTGCCCCTAGCTGAAGCGTAAAAGCAGACAAACCTCGCTTGGTACATTGTAGGGACCAGATAACTCTGAACGCTATCCGCATCCGATAGTTCCAATGGCCGGTATGACTCAGGTTAGATTCAAAGTAAAGCAGCTTGGGACTGTGTCTTGCATTCCTGACACATGGACAAGATTTCGATGCCTATAAGTTGGTTTCTTTTCTCTCTGCTTCCTATAATGTTAAACAGTGTGTTGTGCGGCCGCATCATTTTGTGCTCTTCTCTCTCACTCTCTCGCCGAATCGCTCATTTTACCTACAAACAAACTGCGTCGCACAGATTAGAGGACAAACGCGATAGTGGAAGGAGTGCGGACGAAAATTAAGGAATACACAGGAATCGACACTCGATTGTGACCACACACGAGGCAGTGGACACAATGTCTAGCCAGATGTAAGGTCTACGTTAGATTGGTTATTTTCAGGCGCTCATTACGTGAATGGAGTACAATATGCCATCTCAATCGGGACCTACGCTCAACCTTAGAGAAACCCCGGTCAATTAAGTCACTGGTACTATGTGCAATCAGATAAATGTCAGGTGATACCCTCGGCACTTTACAGCCGGTTTCGTACCCTTGCGCACTGATCAGGTGATAAAAGCTGCAGTGTGATTCGAGCCCACTACGTCGTTTTCAATACTTCAAGGAAAACCGTTTAAGCCGCGACGTTAAGTCGGCAGCGTTTGACGCGAAGAATAATTCCTTGTTGTGTGTCCATGAAATTCCACAAACCACAACATTTATGGGCCGCTAAAATTCCTTATTTGACTGAGAAACTACACGGGTCCCACTCTAGCGCATACGGATATAGACCAATAGGCGTCAAGTGATCGAAGCAACCATGTTTATTTCCTGTTGGCTATCTGACTCCTACATTTGTTTCCTCCATCCAATATGCTAGGACCCTCCCACGGTACATGGGGTGCCATCAAGAATATTTAACCCTATGCCACCGAATAGCAGTAGACAAATATTGTCACAAAGGCCGTAGTTTTGTTCGCTCTACCTGACGAATGCAAATACATATCAAACCGATCGTGAAATGTAGGTGTACGAAATAGTAACACCTACTATTTGTCAGGTTCGACGTTGTTCTCCCTGAAACGAAAAAAGTGCAGTAACGAGAGAATATTTTGCGCACCATCGCCATGTGAGCGTTGTGGATTTAAGGTTGGTCTGTAATCCACCATCAAGCAAATGAGTTGTAAATCTCTTGAAAAGTTATCACTGTCAAAACAGTAAGGAGTCATGCAACTAAATTCCTTATGCCAGTTCTTAATAAGAGGACGCTGCAGACAAATCGTATGCACATTTCAACTTTTGCGTAGGCCACCGAAAAAGCAGAACGCGGGCTGCGCTACCACCAAAATGTTATTGGCATAAAAGGACAGCCATTTAAATCCCAACATGCGGTACATATCCCCTGCGATGAGTCACTCACATCTCAACTAACTTGACGAAGAGCATAGCGGCATAATCTGATGCACCTCATGTGGGCGTGGTTAATGTGCTTGCAGCCACCTGGCTTCGAAATGTATAGTGTTCGGCGGGACCACATCCGAGTTATCATGTTGTCAACGGCCTACTTATACTGTGCTCATAGTATTGCTGTGACAAAAATTAAACGGACCAGTTTAGCCGTTATTCGAGGTGACAATCAAAGCAGAAAAATATATCCACAAATCGGAAGCAGCCCTACATATAAGTTGTGCCACGTCGCAACCACACAGTAGGGCTAATCACTCGGTTCAAACAAGAACCGAATCTCGGAATGCATGGGACCAGTGGAAGGCGTGCTTAACAGATTATGGAAATGTGATTCTCCAAGTCGTTAAACCCACTCTATACCATATCACAGATACATTACACTTAGGGTAGTCACATTGAGCCGTAGGGAATTTGACTTCGTCTTTTACTCTCACAACTTCCCCCGTCCACGTGTCGGCCGTCGCTTTTGCGCACGCTGTCGCGTAGCTGTCCCATTGGTCATGCACCGTCAGCCAATAGGATGTCGGATCAAGTATAGAGGGCAATGTAGTTACGAAGGGGGGCAAAGGCGTGCCGACCGCACATGCTCGAGAGCAATTATTCCCCAGGGCAATGCCAGATTGTATGACGTGGATGAGACTAGTGACGCGTTGGGTCAGCCGATGCGGATTAGGATGAAGCTGGGACACTGTAGGACAAGGTGTTGGAGCATGCCAACCTTGTCCCTTTCACACGTCCCGTCGGCGGAAAGAGCTGATACTTGTTTCGCAATCCATCACATGCGGTAGCCAGTGAGCTTGCATCTAAAGTCACCAGGTGCTTGTCCGAGCAAGCATTGGCATGCAATGGGTACATTGCGCGCGCGGGCCCACAGGCGAAAAACGAGTGGCGCATTGAGTCGGTACGTCACAATTTGATATCGTCAGACGGCTAACTCGTATGTACACCGGTGTACGTAGGCGACGTCACTGATGCGCCGACCGCAACGCACGAAGCTTCCTGACATCAAGAGATAGCGATTGGCTATGTATCAAGTTACGCACTAAGACCTTAATGCGGCTACTAATGCGACAGTCTTAGTTTATGTTCCACGGAGAGTACCGGCCGTTTTACAAGCTAGTGTGATACTTACATAGAATAAACGAGACAAGTCAAATCGAGAATGTGCTTCATGAACCCATGGAGGGTGAACATACAGATCTAATAAGTTCACACCGCAATAAATTTAGTGTATACCAAGTCCCGTAATTGCTGAGGGTGTGAACCACAATAACACATGCACCAGTGCCACGAAGAACTGTTGATGTACTATCCTGTCCGCACCATAGGATGGCCAGCCGTCTTATCCGGGTATGTTTTCGGCTGCTCACAGAGGCAAACAGTTAATGTGCCAGTAAATGCCTTACCATGACCTGATATGTTGTTAAACAATGTTTAACATATTTAACACCTTCGTTCCTTTCCCATAAGCTATTCGATTTTAGTGGAACCCCAATTTCATTGGGCGCGCGTGAACGTTTGAACAACCAGTGGTCGATTTGCATGCCCCCAAACATCCCAGTTGGACACACATAGCCCCAAGGTTTTGAAAGTGGTGCTTCAATGCAAACGCATGGCGGAAGAAACACTCGAGATGTGTCGCAAGCGTGATAACAAACTACCATCGTAGAATGGTTTGAAGCCATTTAAAACCAGACACCAGTCGATGGAGGCAGAGAAAAATCACTAAGGCTTATCACCAACCACAGCAAATCATACCTTTGTGTCGTACAGCTGCGATGCAGACCATTCAAGCACAGCCCTGCAGTCATGTTCTGCTTGCCGGAGACTTCAAGTTGCAAACTGTGGAGTTTAAAGCCACCCACAGTGAGCTATTTAAAACCGAACTGCAAGAGCTAGTCGCTGGCCTACCACTTTGTAGTCACAGTACCTCCATTACGATATGCAACACAGGAAACAAACCAGCC